TGACTGAGAAAGGACAATTTCTGATTTTTTACCTAGCAATTGGTTAATTGGTTTGAAGCATGACCTCAAGAGTTAAATTGCACCATTTTGACCTAATGGTATGACTCAAAACATTGCTCAAGATCAATTGGATTGATAGTTGATTTTTAGTCAACTGATCAAAAGTCAATTGTATACTGAAAAGTCAAAGTTTGACTTTTTGGTCAAAATCAAGTGTCAAAGATCACAATTCATAAAAACATGTCAAAATATGAAACTTGTTCATCAAGAAGTCTAAAAGTCAAGATTTCATTTTGAAAATTCAAAGTTTTCAAACTTAGAAATTTTTCTGAGTATGGAAAACTTCATGTTTTTTCACAACTTTGAGCCAATATTTCACCATGATGCAAGATGATTCAAAAGAAACTTTCAACATGAAAGTTGTAGATCTACAACATTTCCTTACACAACTTCTCCTAGAAATGCTTGGATTTCAAGTTATTAATTCATGAAGCCATGGTCTTGAAATTAAACACTTGGTGAAATTTTGCCCTAGTTTAGGCAGGATTTTGACCTAACTTCATGGCAATTTTTAATATAGTTCCAATGGGAATTTTCAAAAGTGATTCAAAGAGGGGTTGTAGATCACATTACAAGTTTATAAAATGTCCAAGAACTCCTTAATATCATTCTTGAGCAAGGAGAATCGAAGAGAGGAAGTTAGGGTTTCAAACTAAAATTATAGGTCATTTTGTGATGAATAAAGATTCAAATCTCAAACCTATGCTGCATAATCTCTACTTTACAGGCCTCAAACTTGTTAGGTACTACATAATTAAATGCTTGCACAACTTTTAGAGGCTTCAACTCAAGCATTCAATGCAATGCCCATGCTTTATGTCCATTTTAGGAAGAAAGTGCACAATGCCATTTTGAAAAAATAGATTTATACACAAAACTTGTTCTTGAGCCTTGCAATGGTTTTCTTCTGATCATACACGACCTACAATTCAAAAGAAGTTTGTCTCAAGCCTCACAATCACTCAGCCCATGCTTGTACTTCATCTTGGAACCATACTTTCACTTTTCTTCAAAATCAAGTAATATAGCAATCAGTCTAGAGCTTGTACTTCTGACCCTCTCAAGCACTCAAACCTTCTCATTACTTATGCACAAGTCCTTGGCAACAAAACACATGCATGCTTAAGCCCTCAAATACACAAGAACTCGGAACTGTATCACATACCTCCATTCTTGCATAACCTGACCAAAAGTTTGAAACTCATATCTCCCTCGTGCGTTTTCAAGCCTTTTTGTACCTAAAGCTTCTAAACATCATTTAGAACTCATCCCACACATTGTTACAAGATTGTAACACCATTAACACCATCCTCTATTTTCAAAAACAGAGCTTTGCACTTGGACTTCTCCAGAACTATTCAGCCATCTCCAGTACAAACTAAACATTGCATTAGCTTCCTAGGACCTCAGTAGAGCTATTCTGATCATCACAATACATTAAGGAGTGCTCAAACTCAGAATACGATTTCCAGTTTTGAGGTGGTCTGGCTAGAGGTTGAAGATGAAGTTGTTTTCAGGAAGCAGTTTCTAATATATATTTATGATTTGACATAAGTTAACGGATGTATCACCACCCCAGTGGTTAAAGTGCGCGCCTGTCACCCTTAGGTCCTGGGTTCAAGCCCCAGCTTGACCTTTTTGCATTTTTTCACTTTTTTGACATCTTCTTGTTTTTTTTTTGCAGCGCTTGGGCCAACATCTTTGGGCCTTTGTTTTTTTAACCTTCTAACCCCTTTAATCATTTCCAACCCCTCTGACTTTTCTTTATATTTTATTTTTATTTTATTTTCTTTATTATTTTCATTACCATTATTATTATTATTATTATTATTATTATTATTATTATTATTATTATTATTATTATTATATATTTTTTATTTATTAATAAAAACAAACCAAACATATTTATATTTTTATGACTCATATTTATTTAGTTTATTTTCTTCATAAAAAAAACAAAAAAACAAAAAAAGTATTTTCATTTAGTAAATTAATTTCTTTTTTATTCAATAAATACTTAGACTAAATTTTAATCATTATATTATATTATTTTTCTTGTAAATTAAAATAAATTTAGAATTTAGGACTTTTATTTAATTATTTTTATTTACTAATTTAATTAAATTCACCAAAACCCTAAAAAAACTTGTTTTCTTTAAATTAATTTATTCTACTAACTTAATATTAATTTTCTTATTTTTTTAGTTAATTATTTTATTTTAATTAACTAGATCAAAAAACCCTTTTCATAAAAAAACCAAACAAAAATCATATTTCTTTTTACATTTACATTCTTGTATTTTATTCGTTCATTTTGTACATTTATTCAAATTCAATATAGTTGTAATAATTATTTAGATTTAATTTCTTGCAATATTCCCCATTTGTAATTTGTATACCCCCTCCCCTAAATGATGTAATAGTTTAGTATTTTTATTTTCCGTAATTTAAATGCTTTATATACAAATGCTAGTAATTAGGGTTTGTATGGAAAGATTAAAATCAATGCTTAGCAAACCCTAATCAAAGACAAATCAAGCATGAAAATCAATACACTTGCACACAAACACCCTTGGGGTAAATCCACTTGGTTTCCTTCCAAAAATGGCCATATTATGCATGTGAGATATCTTAGCAAAAATAAGCAAAATACAAGATCATAGTCTCTCGATGACGTTATCTATGTTGCCTTTAAAAAATGATCTTAGTCCCTTAAAGAGAATGCTAAGATGTAATACCCCAAATTTGTCCTACCCTTCTACTTTTATCTGGTTTATGCACTGTCGCGCTTTTCTCATGTACATATCTCCATTAGGTCATTTAACATTGCATACATTCGCTAACAACATGACTTCGCAAGGGATCGAGAACCTTCAGGGTTAGGGTTTTATCAACTGGATAAGGTGTATGTGTTCAAATAGAGCCTGATTCTTCTGGTTATTTTTCAAGGCAGTGAAATTACGGAATTAGGGTTTTATGTTCATGGATATTGTGGATCTTTTCTTCATCAGGCTACAAGGTCATCCTCCATCAAGAATTCATCTGGAGCAAAGTATATTAGGGTTTTTACTTATGGTATTTGGTGTCTCATCAAGGCTGTAGTTGAGGTTATTTTGAACTGGGATTTTGGCTTAAGCTATCTTTCTCCTCATTGAGTATCCAATGCCATAGAATTAGGGATTCAAAGCATTAATTTTGTCGATCATTAAGTAAAGACGTAATGCTAGGATGATGTTACGAATTCACTAAGATTAAGGCATTATTGGTTCTCTCATTTCTTATTTTCATTATGGTGGAAGTATTCGTTCAAGTGATTATTTGGGGTCATGAGTTCAAGTGGTTCAATTTGTTAAATTGGACCAATATTTTAAGAGGCAAAGCATATTGAGTTTGGAAAGTCCACCCACGTGGATTCCTTGAAATTCAAGTCACTTCGAAAAAGAAAGCACACCATGTTCATCCATGATCAAGATTTTGGATTTCAAATAAAAGTCTTTCTTTAGTCATCTTTGAGTTTATCTCGTGAGTCATCCATAAAAAAGGTTCGATATCATATGTTTCATTCAAGTCGCAAATAAAGAAGCATTGGGAGCTCTTAGTTCTATTTGAATAAAACTTGATTTTGGATAGGAGATTGAAGATTTGGAATTGCCAAATTAGTATTACATTCAAGAACATTCAAGTTTCATTCAAATTTCCACCAAGTATTAGAAAAGGGTTCAAAGCCATTTCTTTAGAATATTCATCATGAAAGTGGAGGCAAGCTTCTTTACAAAGCAAAAGAATTCATATTTTATGTTACATTGAATCATACATTACAAATACCCAACACCATTTACAATATCCAAAAATATACTACAAAAAACGAGAAATACACTTAAAGGTGCATATATTGATTCTCATCATCGCTTTTTGTGTGGCCTTGTCGTGTTTGAAATGCAACCTTGTGGCTTCCATCTTCATTACCTTCTTCAGGACCAAACCGGTGTATTATAACTCGCCATGATCTATGCCTTTTGTTTTAATCCAAAGCAATCTTGAACATTTACACAACAAAGAGAAATAGTTATTATCGAATCCAAAACAGTCTTGCTGTAACTGTTAACAGAATAACAAACAAACTGCAATAGCCAAAACAGAATTTTCCCTAACCATTCTCTAAAAGCAGTCCTGCATAATAACCCTCCATAACGGATCCAAAATTAGCAGAATGTCAAAAACAAAGCAAAAACAGAATTTCTAACTCAACCAATTCCAAACAACCCTTTCCCCTAACCATATAACCAAACCTTTAACAGAATTACAAATAGAACCTACAGCTTAAACAATTCAAACAGCCCTGTCAAACAACCTGATCATTTCTAACAACTTTCCATTTCCCAATTTCCTAACAAACATTTCTAACAACTTTCATAATCTGTAACTAACCTAACCAATTCTATAACAAACTCAACAAAACTTCCTAACCAGATTCATAACTAACTTAACAAACCTGTAACCAACTTATAAACAGCATATACATAATAAGATTCATAGAATACGGAGATTCGATTGAAAAACATCAGAAAAAGTCAGAGGAAATACAGAAGAGAGATATTCTTCTAACTGATTATTCAGAAGAAAAACTCACCAAGAATTACTCTTTAACTTGCTCGGAGTTTCTTCACAAGGACTCTCGTTTGTTTCTCTGCAACAATTATCTTATCTCTCTGCAGCATATTCTTCAAACCACTTCACTCTCCTGCATTATCATCATCGTTCTCCATTTCAATATCATGTCTGCAACAGAAACGCAGAAAAGTCAACGTAATAGCCCAATCTTCAATGGACTGTGTCAACAAGAAACGCCATAATGCAGCCGAAAACAGAAGCACAAACAAGAAAAGAGCGTACCGTACAACGCATCTCACCGGATCTCACTCCCTATCTACCGAGTCAGTATGAGTCAACTCGGTCTCATATTACACGAATCGCTCTGTCCACAAAGAGAAGCAAGAACCTTACTCGGTTTACTAACAGAACAAATGGACGGTGCAGATTCATCAACTATAAGAAGACGTAGTCTGAAAGAACGGTTCAGATTCACCGGTATCGGTGGTTGCTGTGGTACCACCTGGGTTTTCTGTCCAATTATCAGACACGAACACCACCAACAACAACAACGACGACAACAAGAGGAAGCAAGAGGAGAAGGAGAAGCTAATGTGGAGCAACAAGAACTACAGGTTCAAGATCCGAATCCGGATCCGTCTAGTTCTTCTGGGATGAATCTTGCGGCGGCATTGGCGGCGGAGCGTCATATGAGAGGTTCGGAAGAAACTGGCGGTGGCGAAAGAGCGACGCCGTGGAGAGTTTCGTTGATGAAACTGTTGGAGGAAACGAAAGTGGAAAGTGAGAGTACGACAACATTTGAAACAGCACTACTCCTAACCCTAATTTTATTTTATTATTTTTAATTTTATTTTATTTCATTTTATATAATATGATAAAAATATGGAATGGCTGAAGAATTGTAAGTGGACCGGATCTGCATTCTTTAGGCCCATACAACATTTTTTTTAGCTAAAGCCATGGGAAACAAAAATAGCTTCATGGACTTTCTTTATAGACGGGCCTTGGCTCCAGGCAGTAATGCTGGACCTACTCCCCAATTCAGAACCTTACCCCCTGTTTGAAGTTATAAACCTTTTATTATTATTTTCTTTTCATGACATTTTGGTATAAATTAGCGGAAATAACGATAGTCTTCTTAAGGACCCGTCTAGAAATTCTTTAGAATTTAGTTTTTATGGATGGTAATCATTTGATAATTATTTAGTAATCATTTGTTGTTACCCTCTCGCCATGAATGTGTGATATAATATTATTACAATTATGTGGATATGATTGAATACAAGAGATTTAGGTGAAGATTTCACGAAGCTCTGAAGCTAGCCAAGGGCATAATTGTCATCAAGTAAATTCGAGTTAGCTTTTGGTAGAGTTTTCTTATTATTTGCGTGGTTATGAAGAGGCAACGGATCTCCTCCGTTCGGTATTGTCACAACCCTATTTTATTCTTCATTTCCGTAATTTATCGCAATCCATACGCATAATAACATTAGGTTTAGAAGTAAGCTAGTCTCCTTTTGACTTTTCTTTCTCCTTTTGCATACGCATCTAAAACAAAAACTTCTTTTTCTTTTCAAAATTCAAAACACTTTAAAACTATTGATGAGAATCACGCTTTTGCTCAATATGGGAAATGATAAGCGGGTCTCTTCTCGATCTTATTGTTCTTCATCTCAAGCCTAGGTGTGGTTCAATTCTCAAAGACTCCTTTCATAGCTAAGTAGGAAAGTGGCTAATATCTCTCTCTTGAGGTCAATCAGTCACTATCTGCAACGAAAATACAAACCAGCTCAAACCATTTGTGCGCTCGAGCACCTTTCTTAAAAACCCTTTTCAGGTAAGGTCACGATTAATTTACTTCTGTTCCAACGCATAAGTCTCCAAAGGTCGAGCTGCGGCAGAAGGCAGAATTAACTTCATCCATAAAAAACACAAACAAACAAAAACATATGAGCCAAACTACGGTAGCTCTGATTCCTCAAAAAGGATACGTAGGCATTGGGGTAGGGCCCAAGCGAGCATAATTTTATTTTCCCTACATTTTTTTCCCTTTTATTTTGCATGCATTCTCCCTTAGCAGTAATAAACAGTAATCATAGATTAAACACACCCATAAGAGAGATAACAAGAGTGGATACCGTAGAATACTACGGGCGTATGGGGTGCTAATACCTTCCCCTCGCGTAACAGACTCTCTTACCCGATCTCTCGGTCGTAAGACCGTGACTTCTCCCTTCTCAAGTTTTCTCGATGTTTACCTTTCCCTACATGTGGGATAAAAGACGTTCGGTGGCGACTTCATTGTTTGATGATTTTCAACCGGTTGTTTCAGCTGGCGACTTCACTGGGGATATAGGTCGACCAAATGCTGGTCCACCCCGGAGTCGCTCCTAGCTCTTCTTTTCTTTTCTTTGGGTGTTTATCTTTACGCTTTCAGTTTATTCATTTTGTATATACTTAAGCGTACGTATGCATTGCATTTTACTGTCTCCCATATACTACTGTTGTACTGGATTTGCTTCTTGTTTGGGTTGGGATGTTACTATTGAGGTAAAAGGCCCAGTACCCAGGCCAGAGTGCACTAGGACACTAGGAATAGAGTGGGGGCATGACGGATATAGGACGTGGTCCGATTAGTGCAGTCATGTCATACACCACGCTTGGATGAGGTTCAAATGAATTACTATCAGCACCCACGTCTGTGGGTAAGCCCATAGCACTTTCAGGCGGACCCGTGATTTTCGAGTTACCATTATCTTACCCTGACCTAGTTTTCATCCGTGAGTGGGGAGGGAATTTCTATCACAGGTACAGATGGTGACTATGTGCAGATGGTTACTCAGACTCGGATGGTGACTATGCTCATAGACAGTGACTATCGGTTCTGATGGCTATGTTCTGGATTTCTGTTATGACTTTATGTAGATTCTATATCCTGTTGGTGACCGTATGGTTCTCAGATTTATTTTCTGAGTTCCTGACTTGTTTACCTGGAGGTTCATTCAAGCCTTCAATCTTGGTATTCCCAGCATGTTCAGAAATGCTCAACAGTATCCGATATTCCAGAAGCCTCGGTCCCGTACAATGGGAGGTCCACATGGTACTTGGTTCTTATATATGCATAAGCTATGTCGAACCTTGGATCTGATGATACTCACATGATTCAGAGCAGTGCGAAAATCATATTCAGGAATGATGGAACCCTGATCCTCGTTGATCTCATGCCTTTACATACATAACATGGCTCACTACATGCTTAACATACATGTTCTATCATTTCCAAGGAATCATATTTGCGAGTCTTGTGCTAAACTCTTCCATCTCTTACTTGCGTAAAATTAAAATCAAAGCACGCAAATTCCTTGGAAATGACAGAACATGACATGGCATCCATTCATTCACCCCATGCATATTCATGCATTCATGACAGGTACCCGAAGATTGGGGATTCTTATTCATACCTGGGGCTTTCTTTAGAGGTTCCATCTGATTTCTCACCGCACATGCTCAGAGATCAGTTATGGAATAACTCCGAGTGGTACATGCAAGCTTTGGCTTGTAGTCAGAAACGTCTTCAAGCAGGAAGATAATGGATTAAATACTCAGATAATCCAGGTCATGGAAACTCTGATGATGATGTCTATTATTTCTTTAAGACATGATATGCTTGGTGATGCATATTATACTGGGGCACCTGGCCATTCGATTGAAGGTACGTCATCCAGAAACAGAGTCCAAGACAGGCTCAATCCAGAGACTACTATGTTCACATCATATCTGAAGGGGAATTCTCTCGCACACTCGAGCATCAAGACTACAGAAAGTCGTTAGAATCAGCAAGTCCATACGGAGTCAAGTCTCCTCAACAATGGCAATCATTGGTTTCTTTACTGCATTTTCATTTGCACTCTTGCTTGTTTGTTTAAACATTGATTGTATATAGAAACTTGTCTATTTTTGAACGAAAATCTTAATGCAATAAGTATGCTTGTCTTGAAGTGTTCCTTTCATTTTTACTCATCCATTCGTTATCACTCTTTAAATTTTTTACTTTCATATTGATGCCAGATTTACTAGTCTTATGCTTAGGTAAAGATTCAAAGGAGGATGTCAATAATCTGAAAACGCAAAATCTCTGGTTGGTATGCTTTTGAGTAAGACCCTGCTGAAGATGTACAGGCCTTGTTTCAATCCCCAAACACCGGAGATATAAGGAAGATAGACCCTCGTCAACCCCTCTGAGCCTTCGAAGTAGGAGTTTTCTTTCTATTCAGAAAAAACCCTCATTTCAACCCTGGGGCGGGTAGTGTTTAGCTAATCTGATCAAGCATTCAGAACTCATCAAGAGTGTGCATCCAAGGATACAACAATGGTTATCCATCAAAAGATTGAGAAAAGTCAAAACCACAATGGTTAATCCTCATCTAACAATAATGTGCGTCTATGGACTATATCCCAATGGGTATCTCTCGCACATCAGGAGATCAACAAATGACGATACTAAAGACTCAGGCAGTCACGATCACTTCCGACAAATCAAAAACAACGCGAAGATCAACGACTTGTTAAAAATGAAAAAATACGGATAAGAAAGAAACAAAAATCCCCGCTAAGTCGAAGCTTGAAAATAAGTCGCTTAGGCAAAATTGGGGCATCCCGCTGGACTTCCAAATCGAAATTCAAAAGAATTTGTCCAGGCAAAAATTAGGGAAAGCAAGAAAGAAATTGGAAAGCCTAAAAGGCGAGAAAAGGATTACCAACGAAAATCCTCATCAAAGAACAAAGTCGTCTGATCAGACACCAAAGGCAAAGAAGTTAGTGACTGTCGTGTCCAAGAAACCACAGTGGTTCCTCAACCATCGCAAACTCTTCTAGAGAGATAAATACTTGTACCAGGTCAACTGAACGTAGGAATGGAGAACATCACGGAGAATGGGTGGGCACCGAATAATTTTGAGCCTTAAATCCTTTTTTCTAAAATCGTGAACTAGGCCACGTTACAACCCATAAAAGTCCTAACTGAAGCATGGGTCAATTTGAAAGCGTGCTACAACAAGATAGCGTTTAAATGACTCCCGAGAGGTACATTCCAATATCTGTGTTGGCATCATATGCTTGCATTATCTTTCATAAAAAAGGAATTTGCAAATGTTCCTCTCTGGCTAGTGACTCGTTCACAACAGAGTTGTGACGTCATTTCATTCAAAGTTTTTTCAAACTTCAAGACTCACATATGTGTTACATTAAAGTTATCATTCTCATAATAAACATTCTTCTGCATACAAAACAACTGATCGACATCAAGTAAGTTTACACAATGAACAATTGGTAAAGAGCTCAATCTTGTCAGAGAAGATAGGCTTGAATACCCCGTTGAAGCAAGAAGTCAGCTGCCACAAGAGAAATGACTTATCCAGCAGCATGTTAACCGGTGATTCTATCAAGAGAAATCATCTTGGTACTTCACAATTTGAGTACAATTCAGGGATGAAGTTAGCAGAGCCGGCCAATCTGGGGCAATCAAGTCGAGAGTCGATCTCTCCAAGTTCATCCAAATCTGGGGCATTCCCTCAAAGCTGTCAATCAGAGGCTATCACGTTGATAAATCTCTTCAAGCTCGATCAATCAGAGGCTATCACGTCGAGAGATCTATTCAGAATTCATTCAACCTGGGGGAGTTACGTCAAGATTCGACAAATCTCTCCAAGAAAGCTGTAATCAATAGCAGTTTATTTCGTGACTCAAGACATTGGGGCAGGCCACCTCATATCGTATTGTGGCACGAATGTTCTGGTCTTCTATTCAACATAGATCTTCCCAGAGACCCTTCAGACATGGGCATTCCTCATCCATACTTGCAAAGTTGCTCAAACCAATTATGTTGCACGAGACCACTACAATCAGCTAAAAGCATCATAACGATCACCCTGACTTGGCCAGCGCACGAAGTTGCCTTCATCTACCACAGACAACTTCGGGTCTGATTCCCCAAATGAATTCAGAAAATCTAGAATCATCTTTTAACTCAGCACGTGCAAGTGCATCCTCAGTGGAGTTAATCAAG